CGCTCAGTCTGAGGAACGCAGGTGCCCTATAGCAAAAACCTCTCCAAAAAAAAAAAAAAAACTTGCAATGAGTTTTAATGTGATCTAAACTCTGTTTACCATGTGTTCAATTTGGGCCTTCTATGATATAAAAGATTAATATAAAATACTTGAAATATTAGTGATTAAATTTAATTTCAGTGAGTTTTATCTGCCAAATTGACATGACTTTCTTAAATTTCAGAACTTGTCAGAACAGTTGGAAAGTGATAAAAATCTATAGAAATATGAGCTCTTTGGAGAGATCATACAGATGGCTTTGTCCTTGTGTTATGTAGAACTATTTTTAGATCATTTTTCATAATACAAAGCAGACTTTTTGAAGAGCAGTTGAGATTGTGAAAATCTTCTGTAGCTTCTTAGAATGGTTGCGGTGGGCCTCCTTTATGTAAGTAATGATAAGAGGATTTACATTATTAATTTATTTTCTAGAGAGCTTAAATTTGAAGCTGGGCATTAAGAAAGGTTGGTGGTTTCATTAAATGAGTCAAATGCCAATTCTGTAGTTTAAAAAAAAATTTGTTTGATAGATATTGTTGCACATTAAATCTATAAAGTACAAGTCAAACATAGTGGTATTGACGATGTTTCCTGAAAGAAAAAATTAAGATATTAAGGAAAATGTTATCATATATTGAGAAAAATTAGAAACAATATGATAGATACAGAAAAGAGAAGTGTACTAGTTTATAAAGAAAGTGTATCAGACCAGCCAGTGGCATGGTGGTTAAGGCTGCTGGATCCCCCTAGCCAATTGTGCAGTTCAAGATCAGCTCCAGTGGCTTAGAGGACACACTGAATTCATGTACAAATGTGCCTAAAATCCTGAGAGGAGAATAGAGAAGGGATTGCAGTGTGGCCATCCCTCTTCAAAGGAGGATTTCTCACTTTCCCTTTCTTTGTATCTGGTGATTGCATGTGCCCTCTAGCAAAAAAAAAAAAAAAAATTACTTAAATATTTGTTGTCACTAAAAATATGAAATAATCTAAAGTTTATTTTGGGGGTAGAAGCCATTATGGGGATTTTCCCTGGGATGAGAGAGTAAGGCAAAGTTGTCAGATTTATGAAATAGAAGTACAGAATGACTGGTTAAATTTGGATTTCAGATAAACCAGAAATATTTTAAAATTTTAGTATAAATATATCCCTTGCAATAGTTGGAACATACTCAAAAAATTATTGCTTATCTAAAATGAATTTAAGTTTTTCTTTTATCTGGGGAGAATCAGAGCACTAAGCTAATGATGATGATGGGCTTGCCAGTGATATGGACCAGTTCCAATTTGCTCTGGTTTCTTACCTTCACCTTTCCTGCACACCACCAGCCCTCTGGCAGACATCACAAGGAGTGCTGGAGGGGGAATGGGCCAGCACTGCTGACTCATCTTGCTTACTCCCTGATGACGTGGTCACCAGTCCCATCTTCGCAGAAAACTAGGAAAAGTCATTGTTTAGTAGATGTTTCAATTCGTCTGGCCTCCAGAATCAAAGCCATGTGGGTGGTAGACATTGACCTATCACACTAAAAGAACTCCAGGTTACTGATGTTATTTAAGGGAACAGGACTTAGATCTGAGTTGGGAACTTCATATTGTTGTATGCCAGGGACTCACTCAGCATGCTCCTGTGGAGTCAGCAGTGTGGCTCTAGAATTACAATGTGTATCCATATTTGGAAGGTAACTGCCAAAATCTTGCATGAAAAGGGGTATATGTAAATATTTGTTAATGTGTATAAATAGGTTTGCCAGAATTCTCTGTAAGGTGGGTACCTGTTTGTGTTGAGGGATTAGGGATTCTGGCCAATTATGTGGCTCTGTTTTGGTTATAAAGACAAGTCAAGATTTTAATTTAAAGTACATCAACACAATGTATCTTCAAGTATATATATACACATATATATGTATATATATATGTGTATATATATATATAAAACTTGTGTTAATGAACTTTTTTTTTAGAGAGCCATAGAGACAGAAAGCAAGAAATTAGCCCTTAGAGGGGATGCCATGCCACAATTCCTTCTCCTTCATTTTCCTCTTGGAATTTTGGGCACACAAGCACACACGCCTGGTGTGTTTTAAGCTGCCAGGTCCAGGATTTGAACCGCAGTCAACTATGTGGGAGTCTGGCCACGTAACCATTATGCCATCTGCTAGTCCCCTTAATGAACATTTTTTTTCTTGCTCCTTTGCTTCTTCCTATTCCTTCAGTTTTTAACTGAGCACCTATTATGTGCCAAGTGCTTTCACACAGTTAATAAAGAAGGCAGACAAGCTTTCTGTCCCCTACAACTTACATTCCAGTGAGCAAAACAAATAAATTCAAGCTGTGGTTAAGTGTTTGCTAAGTGTTGAGAAAGAAACAACAAATTATTCTAGGGACCAGCAAGGGAGATATATTTTGATAGGTTGGCAGGGAAAGTTTTCTAAGATATTAGACTTTCTCAGTAAATTTCAAAGAGCCAGTCTTGCAAAGAGCAAGGAAGTGAAAGGCTGACGCACAAGGAACAGAGAGAAGCTGGGTGTGTCAAGCATGGGAAAAGAGACAGCCAGACAGACAGACTTGGGATGACACAGTAGCAGCCAGGAGCCAAGCTTCCCACAGGACTCATTTTGCATGTGATCTCACTATGGGAATAGCAAGCCTGCAGAAAACAGACATTCATCCTGCAAAGATGATAAACTGTGGCCTTCTTTCTCTGGAAGTTAAACATTCTGATTTTATGTGACTTACTGAACTGTAACATTAACCTCTGTAATTATTCTTCCCCAGAGGTGATATGTACAATATTCATAACAACAAAAGGTATTCCTTGTTTATACAGAAACACCTAACTATTTTATTAATGATAGCATGTGCATGCACAAGGTGGTGATGGGGGGTGGTAGCAGATAGGCACCTTCGACAGAGTCTTATCATGCCACAATCCCTTCCCTCCAGCCCACCAGCTAGTCAGATCTTTGGGTATGTGTGCACCCCATGTGTTTCAGATTAGAAGGGTCAGAAAGCCTGACCAGCAATCAGCCATGTAGTTTCCAGCACTGCAGTTGAGTAAACTACCTTCTTTTTTTTTTTTTTTTTTTGAGAGGTTTTTCGCTATAGGGCGCGTGCGCTCACCAGACAGACAGAGAGAGACATAGAGGCAGAAAGCGAGAAATCACCTCCCAGGGGGGATGGTCACGCCGCAATCCCTTCTCCTCTATTCTCCTCTCAGGATCTTGGGCACGCACGCACACGCGCCCGGCGTGAGTTTTAAGCTACCAGGTCCGGGACGCGAACCGCGGTCGACTACGTGGGAGTCTAGCGACATAGCCATTACGCTAACTGCTGGTTCCCAAGTAAACTGCCTTCTATACCATTGAGGCTGGTCCAGTCACAACTAATTCTTGAACATTATATTTATCTGTATGGTCATCAAAAGTCCAGTAAGCCAGAAAAAGAAGTGTGAACAGCTGGTTTCTAGTTAAGAATGCCAAAAGTAGCTAGGAACTTGGGCAGT